GGTGTTTGCTCTCAAATCTGCAATATTATCATAAGGACATTGAGGCAGGGGAATGAAAATGTTTATGATATATTCAAAGCAACTGATTTTATTTATTTGTTTCATTTAATTCTCCTAATAAATTTCATATGAACTAAAGGTAGCAATATAACTTTTAGTAGTAATACTTTAACAGGAATAAAATCCATAATTGAAATATAATCATCTTCTCTGTAATTTTTACATTTGTTATATAACTTTCATATTTTTCTAAGAACTTTTAATATTTTTAATACTTGGTGATTTAAACATATGACCATAATGAAACATTATTCGTATTTTACTCAGAAATGTTGAATTATATTCTAAATTACTTTTCCTTTTTATCTTGCTATAGTGGTTAAATAAAGGAGAGAACTGAATATAATAATATAATTCTAGGATGTATAGTCCCAGTAACATAAAATACATTTGAAAGAAATATGAATCAGTCAGTATTTCTATCATGTTACTGAGTATTTTAAACACAGTGGATGTAAACATAAAATGTTTATATTTTCCTCTAATCACTACTCTTCTCTCTGTGCTGTCTTAAATATTCATTAATCACTGGATAGCCACTCTTAATGCTGTCTTAGACAGACATTGTTACTTTGTCAGTCTGTTCTATTTATTAAATGTCTGACCAATATAAAACTTGAATAACATATCCTAAAACATCCTTCCTCCATTGCCTGCTGAGATTTGTAGCTAAGGGATTAGTATGAGTAAAGGTGTTTCCTGTCTCTTTCCACTGTTTCATATATCCTGTGATCATTGCAATCTTAAAAGGCCTTGTTTCTACTCTTCCAGTTTTAAAGATTGGGACCTCTGAATTGGTAGTGTGGCAAGGCAGTGTCTCAGAGATCACGTCTACAAGAGGTCTAGTATCTTGGGTAGCTGCTGGCTCCTTTTAGAATACGCGTACCTGAATCCTCTTAGTCCTCAGGGTGGGATCCTGGTTGATCGAAAGTCAATAGGGAAGGCTCACTCAGCATGCAGATACATAAGTACTGATTACCATGGTTTTTCTTCTATGAAGAATGAAGAATGCTTCAGAATCTTGAGAAGCTCATCTACATTACCTTTATCATTCCTACAGTAACCCAGACAAAATTCAAGCAGGAAAAGTCTCTATTTCTTTGATATACCTAATTTTATACTAGGGAAAGTAACTTCAGCTGCAGACTAAACCTAAACTATTTGGATACTAAGCAAGATGTCTTTACGCATCATGATAGCTCTCTTCTCAATGTTAAACATACAGTTCACTCACCAATACGAGTAAGCTCATTCCCCAGTGATTCCAGATCCCAGAATATATCAGTCTTGAAGTCGATGAGGTCAACAGTTCTAAGCTGTTCATTTTCCTTTACCTGCTGCAAGTTATCACTGACCAGATCTTTTGGTATGGGCTTAAATTCCAAATATGCCTCATATCAATCCATCTTCTCCACAGAAAACCTTGCCCAACCCACTATGTTAAAATAAAAAAAAAAACTCTGTCCTCTAGATATAATAGAATGAAAAATTATAAGCTATGTAAAGAATTTAATCTTCTTTATACCTTGAATTTTAGATAATACTCCCTTCAAATATTATGTCAAAAAACAATATTCTATTTTGAATTCTTGAAGTCAGATAAAGAATATCCTATAATTGATTGGTTCATGTTATTTCTGTTCATTCATCTGTTTATACTGATATACTATATTATGAGTCTTTATAACATAGCATTAATTTATAATCTAATGTTTTGGTTAAGAAATTCATCCTCTTCAAGATGTATTTTGAGATAAGCTTCCATGGGAATAGATTTTAATAGTGCTGTTGGGTACCTTTGAATTGTTATAGATATGTAAATATATGCATAATTATCATCAATCTATGCAGAGACCCCTAAAAATGCCAATCATGGTTCTAAAGGTCACTTTTAAAGATAATTTTATGCCATCAGTATTTAAGTGAAGTTTTTAATTTTAGGTGTTAGTAAGAATAAAATAATAAAATAAAGTGTTTAAAAAATGTATTTGCTAAGATAAGCAGGGTCTTTTTTCTTATTTGTTTCTTGAAAATTGTATGTACAAAAAATCTTACTTTATTTTCAATAAATCACCACATATAAATTATAAGTCCCTATTAACATAGGCCAATAACACCTTATGCCTCTGTGTTCATTTTTCATAAAATATTAAAATAACTGCATTGAAATTGTTTTACTTAAACAACCTAGAATGAGATTTTTTTCCAGTTGACTTTTGTTGGTAAATTAGAATGAAAACTATTCAGATTTAAAAACTAGTTCTGTAGGTATGTTTTTTAGAATAAAAATTTGATAGTATATAGGTTTGCCATTATAATCGGCAATGTTACCACCAATTTAATTTGGATTTGGTGGAGAGACATTGTAAAACCAGGTTCTCTGAACGAATGCAATATCTGGCAAAACTATGGCAGGCACTGACACAGGTAATCTTTAAAGATCTTTAGATTTTGGACCGTTGTGTATTATTTATGTGATTCCAGGAGCACAATTAGTGAATGGTTCTGTGTCCATTAGTATGAATTTCTGTACTGAATATGAACTGGGAATTCTTATAGCTAAAAGATACAAATTAAATGCTTTATTAATTTATCGCACAGACTAAGCCAGTATAAAAAACTACTCTAAAATATAGTGGCTTAAACTTATCATATAAGAGTCTGAAAGCAGGCGGTCTAAATCTAATATGGTGGCTCCACATCAATGAACAGCTTCTGTTTCTGGGTCTGAGGCTCCACTGTCAGTTTCTCCTAGCAAATGTGGAGGGAAAAAATAGTCAAGGAAGGCCCAGTTCCAATCCTTTAATTGACAAGGCCCAGAAATGTTGCAATTCACTTTTGTTCATATCCCAACAGACACTACTTAAATGCATGGTTATAGTTAACTGTAAGTGAATCTGGTCTTACAATCTTTGTTATTGAGTGGAGCGACTTACTGAACGCCACAATTACCAACCAAAAATGCTGAGTTGAGCCCTCACATCTCTCTGATATTTCACGCAAAGGCAAAACATCTCCCTCCAGCAATTATAGTGCAAGTTGTTAGTTTTATGTTTTGAAACATTTAGTTTAATACAATTCTTAGAGAATGTTTATATGTACTCCTATATGCTAACCTCTGTAACTTTCCTTACTCAACATTGTATTATATGAATTAAGGTAGGAAAAAGTCATTACAGTCATGAGCTGAGCATCACAGATGGAATATACTGATGCAATGGGAATGGAACAAATACCATGTTGGTGCATTTATAGCTTTCCAATGTTAATATAAGTACAGAATTTTATTTCTAGGCACATCACAACTATTAAATAGGATCAGTTCTTAGAAATTCTTCTCTATCTTTCACACATCCATGGCATTATGTGAATATAATTTAGAATTCTATTTCATGGCTTAGCATTCTCTTTGATTGTCATAGCCCACACTGTCCAATAGAACTTTCTGTGAAGACAGAAATGTTCTAGAATGGCACTATCCAATATGGCAGCTACTAACACTCTTGAGCCCTTGTAATGTGATAACTGAGATTAAAGAAATGAATTTTAAACTTTATTTCATTTTAATGAAATTAAATTTAAATCCAGTGTGTCCAGTAGTTGCCATGTTAGCACCGTTAGTCCTTATTTCCACCATATCTATTTACCGCATAATATTACTCCTGAAACATTCTCAAATGAATTTAACTGATACTCACCATTTATTACTTGGTGTTCATTCTTTGCATGAGAATTTCTGTATTTTCAGTGCGACTTTACTGTAGCTTTAAATAGACTAATAATAACTATGTAATATTTACTGAACACAATATGGGTCAGGCATTATTCTAAGCAATGTGATCATTTCACTATCACAAGAAACCATTATTATACATATCAGTATTATAGATGAATGAAGTAATGACAGATTAACTAATGTTGCCTAAAATCAAGAAGCCAATAAGTGGCTGACCTAGGGTGTAAACCCCAAGCAAACTGGTTTCAGATCCCAGGCTCTCACTCCATTCTTCACTCTTCCATCATTCTGGAGAAGAAGATTTGTTCATCAGTAGTTCTCTTTACTGAAAATGCATCACAGTTGGGGCCCTAAGAGCTTTATTTGTGTATGCATCATATCAGAAACTATTGCCCCTAGCTCTACCGTTAAAAAAAAAAGAACAGAGAGTTTCTCTTCCTTTTCTGTCCTGTCACAATTCACTGAGCAGCAACTATGTTTGTGAAAAGATCATCCAAAATGTTACCTAACTTATCTTTACTAATTTGCCACTTGGATCTTACTTTATCAGAATTATACTAAATAAATTAGTAAATATAAATGATAATGAGCAGATACTGCATGTTTGCTCCTCTTCCTACAAAAGATTATTACAATTTTTTTTCTCAGTACCCTAACAGAAAGAATTATAAAATAGTCAGGATCGATTACTTTCAAAGGGTTATAGTGTTCAGATTTAACTCCAGTCAATTATCACCAAGTTAAACTTACTTAGAAGCGCACTGTCCATAATTACGTAATCTCACCTACTAATATTACAGAATAAAGATACCTTTAGGTGACCTGAAATCTATCATTTTAAGTATGCCCCCAAGCCTTTTCCAGATTTCTCATAAGATTTCTCATTCTCTAGAGAAATGTGATCTCTATGAAATAAATGTCTCTGTCAAGTCACGAAAAATGTGAGCACATGATGAAAAAAAATGGAATTTCTTAGTTTCATAAGAGATATTGCAGTATTGTAAAATTGATTTTATTCCTTGTTATTTCAGTTCTCATGGTCATGTTAGGATTTACTTTCTGGATATAAAGGGAAGGTTATGATGCCTTTTAGGGAGGTGGGGGACTGAGGCCTTTGGGGTCCATAAGAATATTTTCATATGAAATTCTTTGTCATAAAATGCTAATGTTGGTGTTCTTGTCTTTATGTCTATGCATTCTTTAGCTATGAGGATAACAGACCCTTCATCAAGTAAGAATGACCTGAATGGCTGATAAATTCCATTTATCAGTGTGGTCCCATGAACCAGCTGTCAGATCAGTACTGAAAAATCATTAGAGCTTCTATCATTCACATTGAGGCAGAAGAGCAAACTGTGCAGGAAAATAATCAGGCATACAGCTTCTGTGCAGAATAAATATGCTGCAGGTGTATTGCCAAAACATTCTGCTTCACCTCTTTTAATTGGATATCACCTGAATTCAGTGCCACAGTAATAGCAACTTCATGTGGTACAGACTTGTTCTGCTTTTAACAGCTCTCTCCTCTCATTGTGGTGTGTTCCTCTGTGCTGCATATGTCCTCTTTTCTGTTGTTTGTTTGGACATCACTCATCTGAAATTATTTTGTGATTTAGTGGTATAGCTTCAAAATAATCTTATAGGTATGCAACTACCCAATTACAATTGACATTAATGACTTTCTATATGAAATATCCGAAACGGGAAAAAATGCCTCCTTCAAAAATTAAGTTTTACATATGCAAAATTATCTCATTCAAATTTGACACATGTCACTTGATTAACAGCTTGGTTGTTCATGAATATGTCTTTAAAATTTTTAAAACAAAGCTACAAGTCTGTACTAACTTAGTAAGAAGAAACATAAATGTTAATATTTGGGACCTTTTTCTTTGTTCATTTATAAATGAATGTCCTGCAACAATATGCTTAGGATTGGCAATCTGTGGGCGACCTTGCTGTAGATTTCAGTTTGTTCTTCTGGTGAAGAGTCCTTTGCTTTCATTTTTCTCCAGTACCATTTCACTGGCTTCTTCATGCTCTTGCTTAGTATTTTTTTTTTAATTGGGCTCATTGCAGTTTCTGTCATTAATTCTTGGGCTCAAAATGTGTTTTCTAGTGGATAATAGCTGACTTGAATATTTTATCCTATCATTTTATTTCTAAATCTAAATAGCAATTTTGCCTTGATTTAATGGCGATTCTTCCCATTTTTCCTTTTTCCGATATCTGTCAGAAGCTAAGAGCTTTACCTTGAAATTTCCCGTATTTCTGAATCTAATTACAGAATAAAATACTAACATCTAAGATGTTTTCTAATTCATAAGTAAACATGCCACATATAGTGAGTGGCAAAGCTCCTTTAGGGATATTTTTATTCAAGAATATTAATGTTTTAAATTAAACATGTTAAAATTTATTGAATGTTTAGATCTGAAATATAGTGGCTGATGGTTGTAGACAAAAAATAGTACATATCTGAGATTAATTTTAATAAGAATTGAATAATAATTCTCTACTTTGAGACCATATCTTTCTTAAGATGTAGTTCTCTCTGAAAACTTTACTAAACCCAGCTTCAGATTATGGTAGACATTTGTGATTTTTTCCCCTTCATTTTGCGAAGTTTTAATTCCCATAGATATTTCTTCCTTAGACAATGTAAATGGAGGATAATAGTCTGCTGAAAAGAAATCTGTTTACCCTGTTCAAGGAAGGTGTGCTGGGAAAAGAAAAGATGGGCTCATGAGTGTGTGGAGATCTAGACTGGTTTGATCTATATAGTTGGTCTATGTATATTCTCCTATATATTTGGGAGTTGACAAGGATTACATCTTCAACTATTGGATTTCCCATCTATTGGAAAGATTCATTTATGTTGATAGTAAATACATAACATATAACCACAAATATATGGACTTTTCTCACCTGTTTATTACTATTGTGAATGGAAGCCTGAAGGAAATAAAGGGAATGGAGTGAGATTGAAAATTTGTCTTCCATTCTAGACTACTTTGTTCATACCACTCCATCCCCATTCTCAGCTCCATTTTCTCCCTTGAGTTTACAGACACATCAAAGAGGTGAGGGTGCCTTGAGCCTTAAGTTTCTTTTCAACAAAACTGCCAATTGCCTGATTTTTCACTTGCCCAACGTAACGTAGAAGGCAGCAATCTAAAGGCAGAAAGTGAGCAAATCACGATCTATAGTGGAACTATTTTTAACCACCCACTATATCTCACCCTTGTTCTATATAACTATAGAATCAGACAAACAGAACTTTAAAATTCATACATACATTCCATATATTACTTCTAATACATTATGTTTTTGTCATTAAACACTAAAATTTTTATGGAAAAAGAGGAAATTTGGAAAAATGGGGTAAAAGTGTATCAAATGAAGCACAAATGGAGAGAGTCCAATCAAACAAATGTTATCATACCAATGAGACCAGTGGAGACTAACATAGCTTTATAGACCTTTTCCCCCTTGCCATTCACCATAATTGCATCTCCATATCATTTGCATATGTGCTGCAAATACATGAATAATTTAATAGTACAAATCCGCTTTTGCTTAAATGAATTTCTGTGTTCATAACATCTTCATTCATGTATATCTCCTCAAGCTTGAAAACTTGTAGTCTTCATTAAAATACAGTACTTACACTGCCTGTCTTACATTTTCTGTCTATAAAACTTACTGTGGCATTTTTTTCAGTGTCAGTATTGTTGATATAACATAATTGTGTTAATTAAAGACCAATTATATGATAACCCTTACTTTCTCTTCTCTCTACAGGTCATGGGTTATAGGTGCAATAGCTCTTCTCTGCCTATTAGGATTGACCTGGGCCTTTGGACTAATGTATATTAATGAAAGCACAGTCATCATGGCGTATCTCTTCACCATTTTCAATTCTCTACAGGGAATGTTTATATTCATTTTCCATTGTGTCCTACAAAAGAAGGTAAGCAAGAATTCTCTGTTGAAGAATAAATGGCTTACATCTCCTTATAGCAAAGCAACTATAAGTCATTCTTTATATCTTTGTCTCTAAGAAATAAATGCATTACTTCATTGATTTTATCTTTATAATGGTAAAGACAACAGACACAAATACAAACATAATAGTTAATGGTTTTAACAGCAAAAGGCAGAATCAAAATATTTTCTGATTTGGACAGTGCACAAAAATTATATTTGTGTAGGCTTGTAGATGAGTAGTCTAGTACTTTTATTGGCAAACATACGGGGTTTGTTTGTTAGAAATTAGCTTTTCTAGGATGTTATGGCAGTATATATATGTGTATATTTATATCTACACATATATATACACACATATATATAGCATAGCATAGGAAATAGATTTTTTATTTCTTTGAAAACTAGTTTTATATACTAGAACATAAATATCTAAACTTTTTATGATAAAATAACATATTTATGTTTTTTGAATGAATGATGGAGAACTTAGTAATGGTCTCTGAACTTCTTTTCTTTAAAAGCATCTTTGATGAAACCTGTGAGTTGAGTGATTAGAATGCAATATTCTTTCTATACTGGTCTATTTGTATGATTTTTCACATCTACAAGGACCTAAAGTATTCATTTTTAAAGTTAATTTTAGCAACTAAGTTCTTTCATTGCATTTTTTTAAAATCTCAATATTGATTTTCTCATCTTATACTTTTTAACTCTATTAGATATGTGGTTTTTATAGTTCCGATCACAAAGACCCCTGAGCCAAGACAGTCTGAGTCTGAATCCTAGTTGTCCCTTCTAAAAGCTGATGTGACTTTGGGCTAGTTAATTAACCTTCCCATGCCCTGTTTCCTCATGTGTAGCATGGAGGTAATAAAAATAATTATGAGATATCAAGAGGTGGCTCTGAACATGAAATGGCAAAATGTCTTTTTTTTTCCCTAAGAAACAAACAAGACCTAAATTTTTTCTTTGGAAAGTAAGGAAAATAAAGAGTAAAGATATTTATGTTCATGATTTTTGGTTTAGAGACTCTTGGGACCTAAAACAAAAGTTAAGAAGGCTGTCCACTTGTCAGGATGTGTCCAATTCTATTCTGTTTCACTTTTGTGTGGTGGTAGGTATCAAAAATGTGGTTGATGTGATCATAAAAATAGGATAGAACAGTGTGGTGACTCAGGTCTATAAATGTAGGTTACAGAAAAGAAAAGAGTTTATACTAGAATGGGTGGATTCTAGTCTATGGATTAGGCTTAATTTAAAGAAGAGATTGTATTAGAATGGATGAATCTTCCCAAATCCTTAGTGTACACATCCCCCAAATTTCACTTGCTTAACCCCATAAATACCTATTTTTCATTTGAGGCCCAATTGATGGGGGTGTTACAAGGAGGGACATGGACAGATGAAGTCTCAACCAACTTAAATGTGTGCTTTCCACGATCACCTTGGGTACTGACATACATCAGGTAGTCTGAGAAAGAGACAGAGGATCTTGTGTAAAGGTCTAGAAGTGGCTCCATGTCAGTTCTACTCACCTTCCATCAGATATGGTGATCAGTGGTACCACCTACCTGAAAGGAAGACTGGGAAACATAGTCTAGCTTTTTAACCCCAGGAAGATGAGGAATTGCATGCTATAAACAGCTAGCAGTCTACCACATTTGATGACTATAAAGAGTAGGAGATGTGTGAATGATAAAGAATAGAGACAGAGGAAGGAAGTGTCTGAGGAGAATTAAATTCAAGATGATACACTGAATTAAAGACAGGAGAAACTGTCCAGAATACAGTTGTCAGTATTGTAAAACACTTCAGAGAAGCCAGAGAGACTAAGCACTTGGCAAAGATTTCTGGATTTTGGTAGAAGAAAGCCATAAACTGATTAAAAAGAAAGCCAGTGAAATATATACAGAAAGTGAAGGAACAAAATCAGGAGATTAAGGAAAAAGCATTTGTCCGTGAAATAAAGGGAAAGTTGGGCCATCATAATCAATTATGACATCTTCAAGTATATTGAACCAGATTTACCTGTAATCTTTATTTTATATATTAGCTGGAAATTTGGACTAACAAGATTGTGTTGTTAAAATAGATATTTTCTACAAAGCAGAAAATTTTTTTTGTATTTTTTGTATTAATTATTTTGGTTGTATTTTTTTTATTAGATAATACCTGTTAGAGTTTTCTCAATTATTATATATGTTTTCCTTGTCTTACAAATACTGGTTTAACTAGGAATTGCATTTGATATCTGCATAGAAATATTGAACCTCAAGATCCAAAAACATCTGGGGTTTTTAATATATTTAGCATAAGTGAAATTTTAAAAATACATCTCATCAAGCTCAATTTTGTGATTTATTAGAACAGACTTAAGCAAACTGCAGTTTATGGGCCAGGTTTGTTCAGCTGTCTTTAATTTTTACAACTGGTCAGCCAAAAATAGTTTTAATGTTTTTTAATGGTTACATTTAAAATTTTAAATAAGTACATAGATGCATTTTTGGATTTGCCCCTCGGCTAACAAAGTCTGAAATATTGACTATCTGGCACTTCATGAAAAAGATTGCCAAGCCCTGACTTAGAAGCTTACTTTCAATGATTTGTAATAAGTATTAAGTATCTTGTTCTTTCATCCATTCTGTTTTGAATTTTTCAATTTTGGTAGCATTTTTATTGGGTGCCAAGAACATGCATGGTGCAACATGAGAGAATATAGAAAACATGGAATTGTTTTCTTTTGTTTTCCTACAAAAAAAACAGATACTTCTCTTTGAAAGTTCAGAAAGTCTTAAAAGGCTTTTATTCTTTTTTTACAAATTGAAATATAACATTACATAAATTTAAGGTGTACAATCTGTTGATTTGATAGCATTATATACTGTGAAATGATTACTACCATAGTATTAGCTAATACATCCATCCCCTCACATAATTACCATCTTTTTTGTCATAAGAGTATTTAAGATCTCCTTTCTTAACAGCTTTCAAGTGTATGGTACAGTACTGTTAACTAGCATCATCATCCTGTACATTAGATCCCCAGAACCTATTTGTCTTATAAGTAGTAATGTGACCAAAACCTCCCCATTTACCCCAACCCCCACCTTTGGTAACTACCATTCTGCTCCATTTCCTTGAGTTCAGCTTTTTTTTAGATTCCGCATGAAAGTAATATCATGTAGTCTTCCCCTATCTGTGTCTGGCTTGTTTCACTTAGCATAATACCCCAAGCTCCATGGTTGTCACAAAAGGCTGAATAATATTCCACTGTATATATGTACCATATCTCTTTCATACATTTGTCTATTGATGGACACTTAAATTGTTTCCAGTCTTGGCTATTGTGAATAATGCTTCAATGAACATGGGAGTGCAGATATCTCTTCAAGATCCTAGTTTAGTTTCTTTGGATATATACCCAAAAGTAGGATTGCTGGATCATATGCTAGTTTTATTTTTAATTTTGTGAGGAATTTCCATATGTTTTCCATAATAGCTGTACTAATTTACATTCCCACCAACAGTGCACAAGGGTTCCCTTTTCTCCACATCCTCACCAACACGTGTTACCTCGTCTTCTTGGTGATAACCATTCTAACAAGTTTACTAATTTACATTCCCACCAACAGTGCACAAGGGTTCCCTTTTCTCCACATCCTCACCAACACGTGTTACCTCGTCTTCTTGGTGATAACCATTCTAACAAGTGTGAGGTGACATTTCATTGTGGTTTTGATTTGCATTTCCCTGATTGGTGATGATGAGCATCTTTTCACATTGGGCATTTGTATGCCTTCTTGGGAAATATGTCTTTTCATTCCTCTGTGCATTTTTTTAATGGGATTGTTTAGATTTTTGATGTTGAGTTATATGAATTATTTATGTATTTTGGATACTAGCTCCTTATTGGGTATATGATTTCAAAATATTTTCTTCCATTCTGTAGATGGCCTTTTTCTTTTGTTGGTTGTTTCTTTTGAAATTGGGAAGTATTAAGTTTGATGTAGCTCACTTATTTATTTCTGCTTTCTTTGCTTGTGCTTTTAGTGTCATACCCAAAAAGTCATTGCCAAGACCAATATCCAGAAGTTTTCTCCGATGTTTTCTTCTAGGAGTTTTATGGTTTCAGGTTTTAAGTTTAAGTCTTCAATCCATTTTGAGTTAAATTTTGGAAGTGGTGTAAGGTAGAGGTCTAATTTCATTCTTCTGCAATGTGATTATCCAGTTTTCCTAACACAATTCATTAAACAAATTGTCCTTTCCCCATTGAATATCCTTGGCTCTTTTGTCAAATATTAATGATGTTTTATTTCTGGACTTTCTATTCTATTCGATAGGTCTATGTGTCTATTTTTATGTGAATATCATACTGTTTTGATTACTATAACTTTGTAGTATAATTGAAATCAGTTACGTTATGCATCCAGCTTTGTTCTTTTTAGGATTTCTTTGGCTATTTGGGGTCTTTTGTGATTCTGTATAAATTTTCAGATTGCTATTTCTGTAGTCGGTGAAGAATAGCATTGTAATTTTGATAGAGATTGTGTTGAGTACACAGATGGTTCTGGGCATAAGTACATTTTAACAACCAATTATTTGAAGTTTTTCTTAAACCATCTTGTTGAATTTCAGTAATATACATAAGCCAATGTAGTTGCTCATATGTTTAGATTAGAGAAATATGCAATATTCCATTTTTGAGATATTTATAGGGTTATTTATTGATTCAACTTATTAACAAAAATCACAGTTTGAGTCCTCTTTTCTGAATGTGGATTACATAACTGTGTCACCAGTGTTTCCACTGGTGACATTGAAGTTGTCAGTTTTTCTTTTGTTATATACTCCACTATGTGATGCATCTCAAGGAGTGTCATAATTATTTCTAATCTGAGAGTACAAAAGAAATATTCCACTGGTAAGGTATGTTTTCTTTTCCATTTTCCATATTCTAGAAGAGCTTCACTTTGAAATGGTATGTCCTATCTGATAGGGATAAGCTGGAGTATCATGTGAAATAGTGAAATAAAACATACAAATAATTGAGCAAATAAGTTTTTATTGTAATCTAAAGAAAACGATCTCATAGACATGATCAATGTCATTTTGCTTTCTTCTTTTTAAAACATATGCTTACCGTTTCAAATCTACTCACAGAAAAATAAAGTCAGTAATGATTCAGTAACATAGCTAAATGTGGGACTTAGCATCACCAAATATCTTGATTTGCTGATTGTTTATATAATCAGCTCAGAATATTTAACCTTTGTTGGATGTTAGTAGTCCATGATGAATTCCTGTGGCTTATACAATATTGCTGCCTTTGTAGAAGAGGAATAATTTTCTTGCTCTCTTCTCTCTCCCTCTCTTGTAAAGCTTTTCTAGTGTTAAATCACTTTATTATAGCACTCTTCTAAAAAGAAAATATCAATTGTTGAGTACATTGGGAAAAACAATGGAATATAGATTATGATCAAAGTTTAGGTTCTTGGAGATGCTTCCTAAATTCAGCACGGATTACTAAACTAATTAATATTGCTTACCTGTAGATAGGGATTATTTTAAGCCTTTTCAAATTCTAATTTAATCATTTGTTCTGACTTTGTCCAGATACAAAGAAGGAGATAATCGAAAGAGATTAATTTCATAAAAATGTTAATAATATGTAATGCCTTGTGTTGGTCATATATTAATTTTAGAAATGTGGCATCTTAGAAAGAGCTTTCAGATCATAAAGCACCCACAAGATTCAGATATTTTTCACATAGGGTACATTGTTTAACCTTTCCAGTCTTTTAGTTTAGTTTCATTGCTTAAACTTTTCAGCATTCTTCTCATTAAAATGTAGGTAATAATTATTTCCCAGGGTTATTTTGATGTAGGCACCTAGCACAATTCCTGGTAAATAATGACTAAAAATTATAAATTTCTTCATTCCACATATATCTTGAATATCTTGAACACACATGCAAACAGACACAGACTTATTTCTTTTACAAAATAAACAAAATATAAACTAGTTTACAAATACTGATTAAAATAATTATTTATAATTACTGGTAAATGTAGCATAGAAGAGACTGGCTGGAAACAGATCAATACAACTTTAACATATTAAGAAATATGTAGGTTTGGCATTCTAGATCAGAGAAAGGCCTCTAAGCTGAGCACACCATGCCTCCCTGTTTCATTCAGACTGTCCTGAACAACTAGCATGCCTTTTTCTCTCTTGTCTATCCTCTCTTTCAACTCCATCCTCTAAACTGCCTAATTCAACCTATCTTTTGAAGATTCTCTCAGAAGTCTTTTCTGAGAAGCTTCCCTTGGTCTCCTACTTATTTACCCCAGCCACTCTCCCTCCATGCTTTGATTCACCTGTACTATGCCATTGTCTCTATGACCTAATAAGCATTCAATAAATGTTGGGTTCTTCAAACAAATCTGAATGTATTCTGTCTCTGATTCTGCTATATCATTGATAGGATGAAATATGTATTAAATAACATGTTTTAGTTTTTAATACTAATTTTCATGTATCATTCACACTCCTTTTTTTGCTTTTGACTTTAAAACATTTCTCAAAAAGAGCATGTATTGTAACTATGTTTTAAATAAAATTACTTTGGAATGTACATTGTCACAATTGTGAAAGCATGAACTCTTGTGAAATCAGGATATGAAGAGCTAAGATACAGTGTTATTTCATAGTAAATGTATATTTGTGAACATATAACCAAAAGATGTCCCAGAATGTTTTTAGTTGATGAACATGTAGTTGGGGATTATTTTTGTAATGGTTGATACTGGAGGTATGATTTAGGGCAATTACTGTTTATTTTCTTAATGTCTTGTTTGATTACATAGGCAGTAATAAAAATTTTAAACATAATGAAATTTTCCCAAAATGCATTGATACACTTTCCTACTTAAAAAAATCAACTGAAAAATGTTTATCTCCGTTTTTACTGTGATTTTGTACTCTAACCAGGATTAAGAGTTTAATCAGCAATGCTATAAAGAAAAGCATTCACATTTCTCTACAATTATTGTATAGAACTCTTTTGAAGGAATATAAAATATTTTGTGCTTCATATACTAAAGTTGCAAATCTGACCTCTTTTACAGGAAACAAACTTCAAAAAATATAGATTAAAAAAATGTTTACCCTACTACATTTCCTCTTACTTTCTTTATTCTCTCTTCTGTCTCCTTCTCTCACTCCCTTTTTTCATCCCTTCTCTCTGTAGCTTTCTCACTAGACTTCTCTGTAAAGAACAGTGCACCAATAAGCTACTTCATAGCAAATTTATGAAGATAAAAATGGTGTCTTGAAGAGTCCTAAGTCTTGGTTGTTTGAAGTAGGTTGTAGTGTTGTTGTGATGTGGTTGGATGTATGTGTGTGAATGTGTGTGTATGTGTTTTAAGAGGTTCCAGTTATGCAAAACTTCAAGCTTGGCAGTTTGAGTATCATTATTTTATATTGTAAAATATATGTTAAGCAGAGTTCCTTATATCTATAGGGCAAGGAGTTATCTAAAAATAAAACACATTTTTTATCATAGTTCCTAGCTAAAATGAATTAGTTGCTAACAGCAGTTAATATTTAATTGGCTAGGTACGAAAAGAGTATGGGAAATGCCTGCGGACACATTGTTGCAGTGGCAAAAGCACAGAGAGTTCCATTGGCTCAGGGAAAACATCTGGTTCTCGGACTCCTGGACGCTACTCCACAGGCTCACAGGTAAGCAGTGTTTGATGATTGAAATGAAATCTTTCTTACCTATATTCTGTTACGAGTTGCTGTCCTTTATTGAATCAGATCCTTTTTCTATCCCCACTGCTTAACACATCAAGTGTTGTTTTTGTGGTCTTAGTGTTTCTTAAACTGGAATGATAAAGGAAGAAATTTAAGAAACCAATTGCAATAAAATTAGGAAATTTAGGGTGTAAATTTGTGTAATAATTAATGATTTCAGGTTTTTCCCAGGTGAATGAGAATAGAAGGTGAGGAAAGGAACTTGCCACTTCAACCAAAATTCTAAGAAAATAATATATTATTATATTATTACTTCTTTGAATATGTGTAATAATTCTGTAGCACATACTGAAAATATTTACTTATTAAATGGTGTGTTTATTAAAAACAGTTTACCCTAAACCGTGTTATCTGCTGACAAGTTGAAGAACAATTCAGGACAGTGAAGGGTACCAGAAAATCATCATTGACTGGTCTATGTCCAGTGTTAGCTGTGATAGCTGCATCATCCCTCACTGGGAATTTTTAAATTTTTAGATAACCTGTCTGCCATTTTTCCCAGGCTAGAGTGTCAGTCTAAAGACTATTATGTAAACATTTCAGTAACTCCAGGATGATAAAATAAGCCAGTCAAATAAAAAACATAGGATTATGAGGGTCATGAGTGAGTTTCAGTTCAGACTAGCAGACTAACATTTTTAAGAGTACATGATTCAGTGGGAAAAACAACGATATTTTTTGTGTCGTCAATTGAATTTTTCTTATGATGTGAATATAAGTACAGTTATCAATTCAAGAACTTGGCTTGACCTATAAGTCTTTTTTTTTGGCAAATTTGGTAATTTTATGTAAAATAAGAAAGATCACTTAGTTTGCTCTTTGTTTAGTGCTTAATTGGCTTGTAAACTTAATGATTAAATTCCCTAAACAATTCCATTTATATGCTTAGAAAATCGAATATCCTTATTACCTTTTAATATATGTGATTCTCTCAAACACATCTCTCAGACTGGGCAGTTATAGACATCTAGCTAGCACTTGAGCAGCTCTTATAAATCAAAGATGGTGAACAGTGTTCTTATAAAAAAAACACTAATGGAGTTCTCTTTTATCCTACAAATAAAACCACATTTCTAATTATCAGCCTAATATTTATAACTTGAAATTTTAAAAAGTGCAGAGTTCCATCGGCTCAGGGAAAACTATAGTATCTTAATGCTTGAGTTAACAATCACGAATTATCAAAATGATCATGAAATGTATTCTTATATATAATAAACAATTATTAATAATGTGAATTTTATTATTTCCATAACTTACTGAGGTTACATATTACAAGGTGTAAAACTCTGGGGGAAAATTCCAGGACAAAAAACCTTTGAAACCGAAGTTTTCATCCAGTATATATTCCAGTCAAAAGGAGAAATAAAGTGGGAGAAACACATTTATTTCTGTCATCCACTTCTTCTCTCCTGTGTCTCTTGTGATCCTGCTGCAGAAGAAGAGGCCCCACCCAGCCTCTGGTCCAGATATGCCCTCTCTTGCCCTTGTAATCAACTATTGATATGGAGATGGCCTACTTCTCTCCACCCCTTGGAAACACCTATTGATATAGAGATGCACTAAGACCAGACGAGAGATTCTGGAAATATTGCAGTTTTACCCACAAAGGGAAATAGACATACCCATTTAGGCAAACTGAGATTTCTGAATTTAAAACCATTAAATTTGCCAACTAAAAATCTCAAGTCTCACATAAGATTGGAGGTGCACCTGCCTGGATGATGCCTCCAGAATGATCCCCTTGTAATCCATGCCTTTATTTTTCAACCTGATTATCCTTACTTCCCTTTTTTGTAATAACCTTTTCCACAACTTTTAAATGGAAATTGCTGAGATTCTGTATGTCATCCAGTTGAACTAGTCCCTGTATTCTTCTCTTATAACCAAGTTCATCAGCCATCATCCTGTAGCCCTTTTATTGACATGCCATTAATGAAATAATATTTTGGAGTTTCATTTATTATGGTACAACAGAGTTGTACAATGTTTAGCAGTACTTTTAAGGTATAAGTAGATAGGATGATGCAGCTTAATAATCATAAACTTAGTGGATGGATGGACCTTGCTTTAAATTCTGGCTTTGCCATGTCCCACCTGTGACACAAAACAAGTTACTTAATATCATTGACCCTCAGTTTTTTCATTTTTAAGGTGATAGCAAGAATATTGATTCCTTGTGTTGCTAGGATGTTTGAGCTAATATATACAAGATACATAAAACATATTGTAGGTGCCAAGTAAATTGTAGAAGCTACCTTACATTAGTTTAATTATTACAGAATATAATCTAAGATTTGTTTTAAAGGTGCAACATTTACAGCTGTAACATCACAGTTCTAATCTTGGGGAAAAAAGCCCTTACATTGTTTTCTTATATTAAATGTAATACTATTCTGATTAATTTAGATAATCCATAACCATGACCGTCGAAAGTGAAGTTTAAAATACTGAGATTAAGGTAACATTTTGGGAGTATGGATGCATTTTTCATATCAGAAAACTTCTAAAATAACAATCTGTATATTTCTTACTTTCTATTGAGAGTTTCTCCTAAGTAGTGCCAAGCAGTTTTCTAATTTCTGGAGAAAAAGTGGTTAAAGGGCAAGTTTTCCTCTGATCTGGAGCTTTTATTGTAGTTGTGAAAGACAGAAAATGCATTAACAAACATGAATGAACAGAGAATAGATTCTGAAAGCTGGTAGAAAACCAAATATGGTGATGTAGTATAGAAAGTACAGGCAACTACTTCAGTTAAGTGCTAGAGAAAGGCTGTTTTGGGAGATGATATTTATGGCAGTATTCTGAATGACAGGAAAGAAGTTCAGGGGGAGAGAATTCCAGGTGAGTAAAACGTCTAATGTAAAGCACTTAAGGTAGAGAAGAACTTGCAAATTCAGGAAGAGAAAGAATGTCATTGGCTAAAGTGGGTGATAGGGTATAGGGAGATGAAGTCACAGGAGAAGGCTAGAGACAGATCCAGAGGTATCTGTAAAAGTATGAAAATTTAGATTTTATTTTGATGACTTTAGAAAGCCAGTAGGATGATTTAGAAAAGAAAGTGGGAGGTTATCGTCGGCATGTACTGAAGATTTTGTGTCTACAATACAGATAATGGAAGGGCATGACTGGCAAGACTAAATAGTGAATATCCTTCCCTAACTGTTGCTCACCCATATTTCCCCATGCTAATCACTTAGAAAAGATGGGTAATGCCCATTGTCACACATTTATTCACAAAGATGTATTGTATTGTTTTGTGTGTATGTGTGTGTGTTTATAAAACCTATGGACTGAAGTATGTCCTTCACACTTTGAACTTTAATTGTTCTGTCATTAATCTATCATTCATTTTATTGAATTTTTAGATGTATTTACTTTTATTATATGACATTTGAAATATGAAAAAATGTCTATTAAGTTGTGAAGCATAGTAACAAAATGAGCATCTGTGAACTCAAAATCCAATTTAGGAAACAAAAAATTTTCCCTATGTTCTAACCTTCATGAAAGTTCCCCTTAGTCAATCCCCCTGCTTCCACCAGAGAAAATCTCCTAACTTTTATTCTTCATTTCCTTAACTTATTCTAATAGTTTCTCCACCTCCTCAATAGATGTTCAGCATTCTTCTTGAAAGTCTTTTTCTAATATGGCATCTCTTGTATTACGTCTTATGTGACTCTTTTTATACTCCATATTCTAAGACTCATTCTGGTTCATTTCGTGAACATTTGAATGTTAATTCTGTACTATGCAATATATATTTTGCTCTGCTTGAAATACTTTACCATTTTCTCCTTTTCCTATTCATCTATTATTTAATATAGTGTAGTGAGTTGTTAATCCCATAGATCAGGAGCCAGATGACTGGATTCAAATATTGATTATGCCACTCATTAGGTCTGTGAAATAAGACATTAATTAACCTCCGAACCTCAGTTTTCTAATGAACAAAAGAGTATTCAGGGAGTTCCTGTGAGATTTCAATGAGTGAATGCATGAAAAATACATAGCATAGAATCTAGTACATAGACAGAAATAATTGAAATATTCAAATATTTTGCAAACAATATATATTTTATTATGCATACATATAATATTTACTATGTGCCAGGCATTATTTCAGGCATGTGTTAGGTCAATTAACAAAAAAGACAATTTTCTATTTTTCTAGAGCCTCATGTCTAACACAAGCATTAGACATTAATTTGGGGTCATTAAATATAAACATAAGAAGTACATTATAATAATGTCATATTGTAGAAGATGGTAATGACTGTGGGGGAGAAGAGCAAGGTTGAGCGTGTAGAATTCAGTTCTAAATAGGCTGATCAAATTAGGTCTCTTTAAGGAGAAAATATTTAAGCAAAGATTTAAAGAAATGAAGAGTTACATACCTGAATCTGGGTAAGAGCACTCCAGGCAGAGGAAACAACTGTAGCAAGCCTAAGGCTTCTAGAAGCATGTTTGGTGTATTAAGGAACAGCAAGGGAACAGGCGTGGCTAACCCAGGTAGGAGAGACTAATAGAAGAGGAATAATGGGGACAGCTTATAAAAATATTACCTAATAATAATCATAATTCCATCAACTCTCAGTTAAGATGTCAGTGCTTTGTTCACAGACTTCCTAGACAAGACCATATCCCCTTATTATTTGTACTTTAAAAATGTTTTAATTATAAAGTATAGCAACATGAAAAAAAGTCCACAAAATATGTGGCACTGCATTTTATTACCCCAACCCTGGTCAAATATTAGAATACTGGATGTACTTCAGAAACACTCTGAATGCTTCTAAATTATTCCCCCAAAATGATCCCACCATTTTCACTTTCAACAGTGCATTTTGTTTTGCATGTGTTTGGTTGTTTTTCACATGATATCATCCAGTATATATTCCTCTTTTGTTTTCCTTATCTCCTCACACATTTGTGTTGCAGCAGGAGGCTGTGTTGCTTTTTCCTTTTCATTATTATATACTATTCTATAATTTATTCATCCATTCTACCATTGATAGTCATTTGCATTGTTCCTAAGCTCTCAGCTATGATTAATGCTTCTATGTAGACTTGTGGGCACATTGTAGCTTTGCTTTTATTTCTATGATAACTCAATTAATCTATCACTTACTAGTCAAGCGAGTCCACGAAAGCAAAGACATTTGCTTCTCCCTTTTGTATTTTGTAGGTTAGTATTTGGCATGTAATAGAGGGCAATTAATATTTTAAATTAATTAACTAATAAAACAAATTGTGTGAGGTTTATTCCCACTATTTCAGTTTGAAGTTTTGAAATATTTTCAATAGAAACATTCCTCAAGTTCTCTGGGTCTGTAATTCTGTACCAGCTTTCTTATTGTGCTTATAAGTTTTGCTGTGTGTGTGTGTGTGTATGTGTATGTATGTGTGTGTGTGCTGACCTATAAGGAAATATTTCTGAAGGATAAGCATGTCCCATGATTCATAAAACTGATTGTCTAATATTTTAAGATTAGCTATGCCTGTTATTCAAGGAAGCCAAATATATTTGCAACATAACCCATTTGTGAGCTTGGTTTCATTATTATTAGTAGTAACAGTTTTTACAACCATTTCATCCTTAGAAAATCTTCTGAAAACATTTTGTTTCCACCTTACAAGATTAATACTTTTTTGATCCCTAACTCAATTAAATAATAAAACAATAAACTAGAAAAAAAGGATTCCCACAAAATGGAAAAAGTTTACATTGCTTTCTTGAATTTTCTGGCCCTCAGAAAACTGTATTTGAGGATATAAATAATGATGTAAGAATTATCAATTTTAGAAAACTTCCTACTGTGAAGAAACGGTTCTAGTGATTCAACTTTATTTATCTCCTTCAAAAGAAAGGAAAGTCAAGATCATATGCAACCTATTAAATCACATCAGTCTTCTTACAAAATTTATGGAAAATATTAAGTTCAGTAGCATTTTAATAATATTCTATGTTCTTTCTTGCTAAATATTACTTTCCTGCAACATCTGAATTCTTAAACTAAACATTAGTTAGTAATATAAATATTATAAAAACTGACAACTTAATGCATATTTAAATATCCCATTCCCATAAAAGTAACAATGAAAATAATTTGTTTTACCTTGGAAATTACAATTATTAAATTCTGACTGTCTAGAGTACACTTCTATATATCTTCAACATGTTTAAATTGGTGTAGTACATTACACTTATTGCTTTTTTATAGTTATAATTATTTTTGGTATAGCTATTTAGGAATACACTTAATGAGAATCGATTATTATCATTAACTGCATTTCTGATGTTCTCATGCTACTGTATTGCAAGCATGTTGGAGTGGTATATTTGCCATATGCCAAAACAAGCATTTCCTATAGCTATGGCAGAAAGAGAAAGAATGATTCGTGTGAGTTCATTTAATTTTTCCTTTTCCCCATCCAGAGCCGAATTCGTAGAATGTGGAATGACACAGTCCGAAAGCAGTCAGAATCTTCCTTCATTACTGGAGATATAAACAGTTCAGCGTCACTCAACAGAGGTAATTAGAAATGATTTTTCATATTTATTACTTTTGTGAATTCTTTGGGAAGCCCTTAAATGCATTGCTTTATTTTCAACTTCTGGACCTTGTTCCTTGTGATAGGAATATTGCAAGAAGTAAAACCTGGTGGAGTGTAGCAGTGTGTTCCATTATTCATAAGCCTTTTTTTTCCTTGAATTTTCAGGAAATCTTTTCTGAAAGGAAGTTAGAAAATGAGAACTTACTTTTTCTAGTTATCTGTCAGTAAACTGGTGAGCTGTCAGGCCTCATTGGGAATAGTGAAAATGGGCAATTATGTGGCTATATAATCTGTTAGGCATCATAGAGTTCCACATTGTCCCAGGTATGAAGCAATTTCATAGTCTTTATGGAACTAAAAATATACTGTCTAATACATACTTAAGGCAACCTATGTATATGGGAAAAAAATCACATCTAAACTTCATATCTAAAAGAATTATCCAGATAATATTGGATATCTAAAAATCTAGGAGAGAAATATACATACATATATATTATTACATATATATATATATAATTTTTGTGTGTATATGTGCTTCTGGTTAAAATGTCCCCGCAACATCATTTAGATTTTGAAATGTGGTTCCCTTAATCTACTGTTCTGTTCGTGGCCGATTTTTATGATTATGATTATTACTATTCTCACTCTCTCTTTCTGTCTCTGTCTCTCTCCCTCTCTCTCATACAGTGTATGTGTGTGTGTATGATTAGAATTATACTGACTTCAGTAAAAAAGAGTAGATGCAAGGTTTATGCAGAGCTTGACTATATCAGTCAATAGTGCTGGGAAGTGTTTACAATACAGTTATCTGAGAATGTGGTGTTTGTATGCACTTATTCCAATCACACTGCTTAAAAGAGACAGTGTTGATTTGTATATTCAGTAGTTATTTGAGGGATCAACAATGATCAACTTTATTATTTGCTTATCCCCAAAGTAGGATTATTAGTTTGTTTTAAACCTGTTTCTGTCAACTTTCTGTTATATTAAATGCTACTTAAAAATAAATAATTTAACACTTATGGTTAATGATTAAGAAAGATTCAGATGCTGGTGCTCTTAATTACTTTGACTCAAGTAAACTTCATTTTATTTATATAAAAGAAGGTAGGACAAGTAGTGTCTCAGTTGAATTTGATTTTGGGATATATGTTTATATATAATCTCGACCAACTTTCATATGTTATTTGGGGCAGTAATATAGTAACTGTAACCTAGTGATGATATTAAATCTTCTACATCATTTTAGCTTAAGTAAGAAGAATGAATGAAAGTATTCCTCTAACTAGCAAGGAAACACATTAAAACAATTTCTTGTATTTTGTTTCATTATTAGTCTGTTTTTATTTACTAAAGTATATTGATTTACGTAATATCTCTTAAGTATTCTCTTTTTAAGTTTAGTTTTAAAGATTAGTTTGTGAACACTTATTTAAATATGAATACTCTGATTTTTTGACATACTTTCCAAATCACAGAAAACAAATTACTGACAAATGACTCCAAGAACTTAGGAAGTAATTTGCTGCCATAGCGACAGAATTTCTTTATTCTTTAAATAACCTCATACATAGAAAACTTAAAATAAGTTCCTAGGAAAAAAAACTATCCTTATTAATAGGATTTGTTATTTGAAATATCTTACATATAATAACACAACAACCATAAAATAATTGTTTAAACAAAAACTTAGATAATATAATTTTAACGATGAACTGTTTATAAACTACTTGAAGATGGATAAAATATGTAAAATTTTTATTTTGTCTAGCAGTAAGATCTAAATTTATGTAAAGATTGTGAGGTATATAACTTTAATAAAAACTGTTTTAAATGAACAATTTTTTATGACTTCAATTTTAAGGTCAATCACATTACATAACATTATTACATCATTTTTAGTCCCTTTTCAAGAATTTCATTAACTTGGAATATGTGATATTTCTATGACTGGATCAATTTGAAATATATTTAAAGAAAATAGTAAGGATATTTTATATTGACTGGTCATATTTTTAAATGTTTTAAAATTTCTTGTGGCATCCAGTTGGTTACTCTAAGGATGACTTTGGAGAGGAGGATGAATTGAATTTATGATTTGGAATGTGACTGGGTAGTGATCTTTTCCTTCAGAATATATATTCTTCCTCCACTCAGTGACTTTAATGGTGGTAGTCATCAGTGATTGCCTTGATTTCCTATATTAATTTTTTTCTAGTCCCACAAGTCAGAAACTCCACATTTTATTCTCATCTCATTGTTTTTTATCTTAGATGAGTGGAATACTTTAAAATTTTATTTCTTCATATTATATCTCTGAAGATCATCTTTAACCTCCTTCTTTAATCTTGTCTTATTTCCCAGGGTCCTATCTTCCCTGCATTCAGGCGTGTGTATCATATTTAGGTAGGTGGAATAAAGATTCACGTTTCCAGATAAACACTTCAGTCACCTCAGCAACATAATTATTCACCTCTGTTAATTCAAGAGATTATATTCTCTATTATTAAAATAAAAATTTTAGGCACTGCATCTTTACATCTTCATATACGCTAACTTTCCATTCATTCTTAGTTTATTACAGCTAGCAATTTTTTTAATTCAAATTCCATTTTCCTTTCTCAGTTAGATATATTTAATCTCTTATTTTTATCTTAAGAACATAGTTCTAGACCTTGTGAACTACAAGAAGTTGACTAAAAGTTAGTCCTATTTTCACTTCAGGTTTTCTTTCCTATTCATACCACTACCCAATTCATCAAAAGAATAATTATTTTAAAATTCTGTATGTCTTCTCATCTATTCTTCCAAACAAGATTCCATCATTATCATCTTTGGGAAGCCTTTAAGAATAAGCATCTACCCTGCAATGTAGAACTCCTTCTCAATGGTTTTTATTTGTTCAAACCATCTCTAATATTCTGTTCTTCAACCAACTTGTTACATCTTATGTATCAGATTTCCTGTCTAGATTTCCCAGTGTAATAAGTCCGATTATTATTGTAGTTTTACTCCTTGGAATCATGTGAAACCTTGGTGGTTTTAGTGATATTTTCAATTTGTGTAATCACTCATATATTCCCTTTGAGACTTTGTTACTTGGTTACCTCATCTCTTTAAAGCCTTCTATTACATTTACTCTTTGAATATCTATATTTATGAAGATGTTTTCCAGTTTCTCCGTATATATTTACAAGTAATTTTCCCCTGCTGACCTGTTTGCTACAAAGCTACACACTCACTCTAATCAAGAATTCCTTGAGGCCAATGCCCCAGAACTACTATCGAGTTAACTTCACTGATACCACTATATATACAGGTAGAAGGAGCTTTTTGAGAGCCATAAGGTGATTTTGATGGTTGATGACAGAGAGTTTTAAGGAAGGTTGACTGTGATCAAAACCCAGATTTTCACAAATCCCACAGGAATGCTTATTCATTTGTTCATTTAAATATTTACTGCTTGCACATACCTTGAAATCAGTCCACAGCTCCAACTTCCTAGTAGTGGTAGAAACAATTTGTAGCTTGATTTAAATTAACAGTGCCTCTAAAACTTAGGTTTGAACCAAAAATGAAGAATTTTCTGAGAAATTCCATGTCAATTCAATTGTTAAATTAATTGCTAACATTTCCACCTTTTTTTTGTAGATCTATATAGAAATTTGGATTTTTTCTGAAATTAGATTTTATTAGGCTTCATCTCATCATGAATAATATAATTGCATTTCCCATTTTATTTTTGTTTAGTGAAAAGGATGTCAGAAATTTCAGTGTATAATCAAGTTTGGCTAGGTAGCTGCTACCAATATGGTATCTTTCTGTGAATTACAAAATCATGCCCCAGACCACTCTCATTCCACCCAACCAAGCTGCGGCAATATTGTCCCATCTGAGTAACTCAATTAGCAAAAAGGTATTTCTTCTGGAACAATGGCTTAGTTGCATAGTGGATGTTTATTTCCCCCTACTTGCCAGCTTCCATTTCACCAACCTCCCACACAGGTTAATGCAGTTTAGATTTTTATACATGGAGATCTGAGCTGTGAAGCTACACTTACTGAAGTGAAATTTATGTGTTACATGGCAGAAGATCAACTGATCTGAAATTTGCAGCACTAATTAATACTGATGATTCTCCTTTCAAGGTTCAGATCAGTATTAATATACACATGTTCTCAATAAATTTATGTAATCAGTAAAATTATGATGACCTACAGAAGTATTTTAATAACTTTTGACTGTCGGTGGCACAACAACCTACTGACAGGTGACCTGACCTATTAGGAGCATTGTTGATACAAAGGAGAAAGCACCATGACAGACATTTGCAAGGAGTTGGCTTATGCATTGCAGTTTTGCCTAGTAGTTTGGAGAACAGAGTTTTAACCCAGTGAATTTTGAAATGTCATTGTCTATGCAATAGGAATATAAATACTCCCCACTTCAGGGAGACCTTGAGAGGACGAAGTAAATTAATATATGTTAATCTTTACAACAGTGCCTGAAACATAATAAGTACTATTAATATTGTTATTGTTTTATTCAGAAGTTTGTATGTATTTTCTAACAAATGAAAACTGGCCCTTGTGAGTGCTCACAAGTAATCAGATATTAAAATTCATTATTTCCTACCAAAGGTTTCCTTTCCTTTTTATTTTCTAGCAATAGGCTGGAGGAATGAGGTGGTTACCTGAATGCCAAGTAAAAGATGTAATAATTTACCTAAGATAGTGCTACCCTTGAGGCTAACAAAAAGAAATAAACTAATAAAACTGAATTGCTCTTCTAAATTAGAAATTAAATGCAAATTACAGCTGCCTACTTGTACTTTCCACTTTTGATTTATAACCATATTTTAGCATTGAAGCAATAAAGGTAGAATATTTTTTCTCCCCACTTTAGATAATAATATAAGCAAACACTGCTTTCTCTTTCCTCCCAGCCCCATCCTATTCTTTAGTGGCTTAGGGAA